ATTATTATTATTATTATTAACATTGCTTGCTGTTATTCCTGTTGATGCGTTTCTTTTTAACTCAGATTCAAACCCAAAAGAAGAGAAACACAATGGCAGCGTGGCTGTGAACACTGGGAACATGTCCATGTTGTTCAAGAGGCATAAATTGGGCATGTAGACTAAATTTCCGCGTAGGCAGCATAACATATAAAATCATTTGGGTTTTATTGAAAATGTAATAAAAAGACAGAAAAAAACAACAACCATTGTGAATTATAATAATTATCATACTTTTAACGGCTTGGTCCAACTATTGTTGATTTGATAAACAGATTTACGTTTAATTGACAATGGCTTTAACAACATAGTTTCCTAAATCTAACTAATCGTAAGTAAGCCTATCCTCTTCTTTGACAAAATGTACTGAATTTGAAATATATACCTAAGCATTTTCAAACGAAAAAAATGGTTGCAAATTACAAGCATATCGTGCGGTAATACCCACTAATTTTTGAAGAGCGGAGAAATAATGTGTATGTGAGGAAGCATTTAGTAGAACAGGCAAGCAGATAATATTAAGGGTGCATGAGGAAAACGAAACACAACATGCCAACGTTCAAAAATTAATGTTTCATTGGAAGCTTACAACTGTTAGTTTTCTGTTCGCCACAGTAGCTACACAAGGTTTGATTTCAGAGTTCGAACCCGTGAGGAGTCTGAATCGTCTTTATTAGTTTAGGAATATTTGATTCTGCAGACATTTTGAACCTGCGATCTTACTGAGAGATTCCCCATGTCCAGCTTAATGAATATCGCCTATCCTGGCATGATGGGTGTAAAAGTTAGTTTTATTATCTGTCCGAAAAGAAAACCGGCGCCAGTGAAGTAGCGGGTAGGTGCTTCGGCATCGTATACAGGAGATCTGAGTTCACTTTCTGAGTGAAGAGATGTTTGACCGAGTGTTTCGGTCTTTTTGGCTGTATGATGTATCCCTCTTAGCCTCGGTTGTCCCATAAAGGAAAGGTTCAAAGACGGCCTCCAAAAATAGGAAAACTTTGTCGATTTTAGGGTGATCGGGTGCCCATGATACCGCACATTAAAATAAAACAAACAAAGCAGCAATAGTGATAATAAAAATAAAAATAGAAATATTAATAATGATAATGATAATAATCATCATCATCATCATCATTATCATCATCATCATCATCATCATCATCATCATAATCATAATCATAATCATAATCATAATCATAATCATAATCATAATCATAATAATAATAATAATAATAATAATAATAATAATAATAATAATCATAATCATAACAATACTAATAACAAAACTCTAGTTTAACGTTCAGAACAGCCAATAAATGTGTTTACTAGAGCATTGACCCCAGCCTAGGTACCTGGCTATGAGAGCGATAAACGTTACAACGAGACACGTATTTCTTCTAAGATACAGTGGAACCTGCTCCAACGGCCACCTGTATGAAGCAATCAATCACCTGTACAAATTTATGGTCACTTGCTTTTTAAACATTTTTATAACATTGTGTAAGACGTCCAGAATTCTCAACGACAATGGATGGCTGCCTTAAACAGTTTCGACTGTACTTACCCTTTGCAGTGAGTTGAACTAATCTGAGAACACATTCGCTAATCTCGCCATTTTAAAGTATTGTACCGGAAATGCGTGGGCATCCATTTACGCCAGTAAAAGAAATAACATCAAACCCGGACATGAAAAATAACAACCAAGTTTTTGCACCAACTTGAACTTTGGGATGTTAAGTATTATGAGAAAATAATTCAACCTAAATGGCCCATGGGGAACATATTTAATTTTAACACAATAAAAGTCAAAAAGGTCATTTTTCAAACTCGTGAAAAGATGTCATTATTTGTACAGAATGAAAGAAAGTCAAATGGAACACAAAAATACTTATTATATTTTTTAATTGACCCAATAGTTATCACTAAATTAGCATTTAAAGATTATAGAAGGTCAAGGTTTTTGTCAAGGTCATCTTTAAAAATAGCTCTGAATATGGCCGTGTTTGGTATCAAATTCGACGTCTCAACGAGAAAAACACAGACTTTATTTTGCTTATGCAATTAACTTACATTATAGTTATCTATTGACGGTAAACACAAGCTTGAGATAATAATACTATACGTTTTAAAACAAAAAGAAATGGTGTGGTCATAAAGACTTTTAAAAAAATCTATGTTGGGGCATAGCATGCTCCTCGGCATTGTATACCAAGCTCCATGAAAATGCGTTGGTAAACATGGGAAGATAAGTAAAAATGGTAAATTTAGACCGAAATAAGACCTCTTCGAGATTTTACATGTGGAACTCCCCCTCCCATTTCTAACCTATTGTTTGAGTTATGTCATAAGTGTATAACGTATGCTCATATATATACATGCAAATAACGAAAAAGTTTAAAGGTAAACACAAGTAATTAACCACGAAAAACAAAATTTGATTGAAACAAAAGTGCCCACAAACGAAACTACTATTAAGGTATACCTGTTATCTTACCGGCAAGCAATTTTCTTCATGTCATGTGCTCCCCATATCCACAAGGCAGTACTGGTTTTATATTATCAGAGTTTTCCTTCTCATAGGCAAATTGCCTTCCAGTCAGGGCTGTTAATCTCTGCCCGACCAAGGTTTGATTTTGGAGTTTCCTTCTTCCAAGTTGGTTGATCTGAATAGCTACAGATTCCTTCCTACCCTTGTGCTGGCCTAGTTCGGGAACTTAGGAAGAAGTCTGTTTGCATTGGGTACATTTTTAGGCCAGCTGTTACACTTTTGTAGCAAAGAATGTAATCT